TATATATATATATATGTATGTATATATATATATATGTATGTATATATATATATATGTATGTATATATATATATATGTATATATATATTTTAAACTATCAGGAGTATATAGTCATTAAAATGAGCTCCAACAATAAAGTGATGATCACATTAATAAATCAACAAAGTACAATATAATATTCTACATAATGAGTACTTTTACTTTTGGTACCTTAAGTACATTTTGTACTTTTACTCAAGTTACATTTTATTTATTTTAAAGGACGTTTTATACAAAATTTAAATGTGGTGTTTAGTTTCTTTAAAAAAACAAATAAAAGACAAATATTTATTTATATATGATGCAGATTCATAACTGTTAATTTAGCCAGGATTGTTATCAATGTGTGAAAGTATTTACAATCAAAAACATTTAATATTTGCATGTTTTGTAATATTTGTGTTGTTTTATTGTGTGTCTGGTTCTGTCGCCTGAATACTGACTCTGTAACCGGAAGAGGAAGAAGGACCAGACAAGACTTGCCCTACTCTGCCTCTGATTGGCTAACTCTGACATTATTACCCTGAATCCCGTTCATCGTGTCTCACCTAACCACTCCAGCCACCGAGAACCAGCCAATCAGAGGCAGAGCATGTCGTTTGTAAAGTAGCTTCCGGCGGTTGTTTTTGTTATCGTGCACCATCGCGACTGTTTGTTTTCTAACTCAAGATAACTTTCTATATATATTGATTGATCTATCTCAGGTACTAATGGAGGAGAGAAGCTGCTGCGTGTTAAACTGCCCCCGCACGTCTCGCGACCACAGCGGGAGTCACGCGGTCACGTTCCACGTGTTCCCGGCCTGGAGGAGACACGAGGGAGAGACGATCTCTGTGCTCACGAGGAGCCGGAGGACGGCCTGGGTGTCTGCTGTGGGTCGCGAGGACATCACGTTTAACCACGTTCCTTCCTCTGGTAGAGTCTGCTCCAGACACTTCTACTCAGGTTAGTTAGTACTAGTTAGTTTAAACTATTACAAGTTAGTAACAAATAATACAAGTTAGTTCAAACTAAAAGAGATTAGTAATAACTAATCAAACAGCAGTAAACCTTCCAGCAGTAGAAGACATATTTAGTCAAAGTTCTGCAGTGAAAATGTTACTCAAGTCAAAGTAAAAGTACCTCAAATGTGTACTTGAGTAAATGTACTTTATTGGATTCCACGAGTAAGTTCTTCCCTCATATAATGTTTAAAGTGTTTTAGAGAGGAGACGTTTTAATTTGACCACCTTCTAGAGACAGAAACCAGACTGTAGAACCACTGCGAACAGGAAGTGATTTATTTATCTTTATATTTTGGGTCTTCAAAAACACAACCCTCCAGGTGCATGCTGGGTCTTTACCTGCCTACCCGTTGCTCCGTTCTTACTAATGAAACCACCGTAAACTAAACTAATAACTATATTAAATAAAAGTAAATCAATCATATACACAGAGTGTTGAAATGAATTCTTTCTCAGGACATAAATAATCTAAACTCAAGGTACACTTACCAGGCTGATCCCAGAGCTTTTGACCACATCTTCATAATAAGATTTTCTCAGGAATATTAATAAACATCTTCTACAAAGTGAACATCATAAACTCTTAGAAGTTACACAACAGATTCTCTGATGTAAACAGAGCTAGATATTGGTATTAAAGACTGTGTGTTTGCAGGTAAACCCTCTTATGAAGGACTGGAGTCGGATCCAGACTGGGTTCCTTCACTGCTGATGGGTCCCAGTGAGGGAACCACCGGACCCACCAAAGGTCTCCTCCAGTCTGTGCATAGGGACCGAGACCAGGACCAGAGACGCTCCACAGAGACCAGATCTTTAACTGAGACAGAGACAGCAGGAGGTGAGGAACTTCTAACAGGTCCTGAATCAGTCTCAGTGTAGTCCTGATCCTCTATGTGAACCAGTCTCAGTGTAGTCCTGATCCTCTATCAGACCTCCATCAGTAAAGAGACCATCAGAGAGAAGATGGTCTATTTCTATAGAGTTATTCTTGATGATGTCATCTGCTGGAGACCCAGGACGTGTTGCTGGACCCGCTGGAGGGAAGGGAGGCTCAGGAGAACCGGAACCAGGACTGAGAGGGGCAGACTGTCAGACCTGCTGCAGTAACATGAGAGGTTTTCTAAAGAGACTCTGGTGCTCAGAGACACTACCACTTTGGTCCACAGAGGCCAGAATCACCACTAAAAGAACTTTCGTAGTGACTTTAACTTATCAGAGAAACAAGCTAAGCTAACGTTAGCATCATCTCGGCTCCTCCAGGACGTTGGAGAAACACAGGTTTTCAACATGACGTCTTTAGTGCTGCAGTAAAGTTTAAATGTTTCCTTTCTGTACTCCGTGGTGTTTCAGGTGCAGAGTGTCCAGCGGTCCGTCCCTGGACAGAAGTCCGTCCTCTGCTGCAATCCGTCCTGCAGCGTAAAACCGTCTTCAGCCACCCGCCTGCATACGAGACTCGGGGACGAGCTGCTCCTGCTGTGAAGGAGACGCACCTGGACTTCAGAGTAGGACTTCACTTCCAGAGGATTCCTCTTTAGTTTGCATGTCAGTGAGTTGAAGATGAGAAACATCTGGATCAAAGTTGGGTTTATTTATTTATTCTGTATTCATTATTTTGTTTCAGGATTTCATCCGAGACGCTCTGGAAGCGTCTCTGGAGGCCTCCAGCAGGTCCAGGATCTCCGTGGAGCTGGACTCAGAGGGTCCCCCCATGAAGGAGGTTCACCAGACCTGTGAGCAGTCCTCCTCCTGTGAGAACTGTGTCCGGCTGATGAAGAGGAGCATGGAGCTGCAGCAGAAGCTGAGTCGTCTCACAGGAGGACCGGAGGACGTGGAGGTCTTCACAGAGACCCTCCTCCATCCAGACCAGGACCAGCAGAGTCCTGAGACGGTCCACGTAGAGGAGCAGGACCCTGCAGGTGAATCTCAGTGATAGATGGTTATTGATCATTGATGATACATATAAGCCCGAGAGGAGAAGACTTAGCAAAACACAGTGTGAAGCAATGCACTAATCACTAACATAATGATGTTGCACATCAGATTAAACAGCAGAACCTGAGCTACAAGAATATGTAAGCTGTTTGTACATGCTCCTAACACAACTCAAACACCAACTAAATACAGGACCAAATATCAAAATCCATATAACGCCACCTAGTCAACCCACTCGCCACATGTCTGCGTCCTGCTGATTCTGATTGGCTAACAGTGCTGTCAATCTCATACTGGTGGGTGTAGCTAAATTCTGTTGGCTCTAACAATTCAAATGAGGTGTCATTCCCTCAAATCGACCAATCCGCTGCGGAGATATAGCCCTGCGTATTCACAGGCAGCTGGCGTAGAGAAAACCTTCATTACGCACGAGGACACCGAGCGCGTAGCATTAGCTTGGTTAGCATTAGCATGGTTTGGCGTGTGTGTTACTCTTGCGGTTGTTTTTTCACCACTTCGTTGGAATTTTTGAGAGAAAGATGTCAAAACAACGACCAAAGAAATATTTCACTCCAGAAGAAGTACTGACACTGCTGGAGGAGGAGCCTGGGAGCCTCGTTAGTCCTTGTGATTCATCGTCGGATGATGAAGAGGATCTCGTGCATCCCGACAACACACAACACAGCATTGACTCAGATTACCGTCTCCATCATCGGAAAGGTATGGATCGTCTTATAAATGTTATATTTATTGATTTATTGGTGTCGAGCTAGCAGCGTTCTCAGGTCTGTCCGTCTGTGACCTCCCAGCACAGTGTGTGTTTATTGCTTTGATGTTTACATGCATTACGTTTGAGAACCAGACCACTGAAGGATTACATTTGTTTTTCTTCCACATTCTGGTTTACAGTGATGAGGATTACCATCCACCTCTTGCCAGTGTCCCAGGACCTTCAAGGGCCCCACAGCCAACACGTCACAGCTCCAGGATTTTTGGAGCCCCAGCCGTTAACACCTCAGTCAGGCCCAGCAGCACTCCCCCCCCCACTCCACCTCTCTGGGAGCTTCTGCTCCAGCTACCAAGCGTGGAGAGAGTAGTTTGGCATCTCCAGAGAGCGAGGACAGGTGGCGTAACGGAGAGGAGGACATCAAACCTGACCCTCTCAGGTTCATGCCGGCCAGGCCCCACATGTGACACCACCACAGCATGGTCTCCCATCAGCCTCTTCCAGCTTTTCTTCTCAGCATCTGTTGTCCGAAAAATCATTGACACAAATGCCAACGCTGCCAAAAGAAAGCAAGCTGGGATGAAGTTCAAGTGGGAAGTGGTCACCGTGAAGGATCTTTGCATATTCCTCTCCGTTATCATCTCCACTGGCCTTGTGACGGTCCACCACAGGTCTGACTACCTTCACCTCAGCGACCCAGAAGAGAACGAGGAGAATGAGAAGATAAGGAACAGTGCTGAGTATTACCGCCTGTTCAAGATGAAGCTGCTCTACACAGAGATGGTGAATGCCTGCAAAGCCCATTTCCAGGCGTACCAGAATGTGTCCATTGATGAGCGGATGGTCGCAACCATCAAGGACACGCCCACAAAGTGGGGTTACAAACTGTTTGTGCTGGCTGATTCATCGATAGCCTATACCTGGAGTTTCTTTGTCTACGCAGGTAAAAGTGAGTCCACCACTGAGTTACTCAGCAGTGATGGACCTTTTGTCTTTTCCTCTCCTCGGTAAAGGCTACGAGGCTGGAACGCCGAGGGTGAAGACAGCCGTGTACTGCAGGAGGTGTACGGTTCCTCTCTGCCTCACCTTAAAGAAGAACTGCGGACAGTTACGACGACAGTAACTTCCTGATGTGTGTGTGTGTGTGTAGATGGACAATAGTGTCCATAGTTTTGGTTTTATGTGTTTTGAGGTTAAACACTGGTTGGTTGTTTACAATATCACATTATCAGAGACTAGAAACACATGTTCTACTGAAACGATCGTCGGTAAAACTTTATTTACACTCTGATGGTTAATGTTAAACTGTGAGGGGGGGTCAGTATGGACCACTATTGTTTGTGGTCTAGAGACTTTCTCCTAAACAGGAAGTGTTACTTTGGAGCCTCGGTAGAGTTTAAAAGTGCTGTCTGTCTCCTCAGGGATGGAGCCTCCTCTCTCGTCTCCTCCTGCGGTTCTCAAAGACGGCGAACGGGATCCGGACTCAGCCGACAAGCGGACTCAGGAGGGCCAGGCGTCCAAGCCTAAACCTCGACGGCCTCCTCGCTTCCAGAATGCCTGGCTGAAAAGGTTCTGGTTCCTCTGCTACTCGCCGACCCTGGACCTGATGTGGTGCCACATCTGCCGCCTCCACTCGGACAGGTCCCACTCCACCAAAGGTCTGATCAAAGGTTCCAGGATGTTCAAGTTACAGAACATCCATAAGCATAGTTCCAGCAACCACCACAAGAACAACGAGTCTCGCCACAAGATGATGGGGGGTCACCTGCAGCCGTGAGGCATCACACGGGACTCATTGTGTCTTCAACCTCTGGTATAAATGTATACATGTGTTAAAGCTGCATTCTCTCTAGTGTCCACCAGGGGGCGACTCCTCTGGTTGTATAGAAGTCTATGAGAAAATGACTCTACTTCTCTCTTGATTTATTACCTCAGTAAACATTGTAAACATGAGTTTATGGTCTCAATCTCTAGTTTCAAGTCTTCTTCAATACAGCATGATGTTCATTTAGTACATTATGGTCCATTTAGAGTCACACAGACCATAAAGCAGGGGATGCTTTAGGGCGGGGCTACACAGTGATTGACAGGTCTCTACCAGACCATAAAGCAGGGGATGCTTTAGGGACATCAGTCTAACTGAGTTAAAGCTAAACCTGCCAACACTTATTCATGTCTGATTTATTTAGACATAACTCATCTCTAAACCTTTTCTTGATTCGATGAGTCAGTTATATTAAAGCATAATGAGCAGACATAGAGTATTAATAGTCCAGCAGTTAAGATGTAATACTAATATAAGTATAAATATATATAACTTCTACTCAACGTGGTCTGAATGATGTAATGAAGATGTCAGCGTTTATCTTCATGAAACACTTGTTTGCCAGTAGAAACGTGTCGGAATAAAACAATTGGCTTCATAATCTCAGATGTGTGTTGGAAGGCTCCGCCTCCAGCTGGAGTCTGTTAACGTCCATCAGCTCCCAGTCGTCTCTGCTCTGCTTTGATCAGCTGCTCTGGCTGTTTATTCTCAGGAGTTCAAACACGTTTAAACCAATCGGGAGGCTTTAAAGCTGCTGTCGGCTGATGGAGAACAAACAAAAAGACACTTCAAAGCAGAACAGATGAAGACACACTGATTAAAGTCTTTATGATTGTTCATATCTGATCTCGACATGGACTGATGTTTCATCATCGTTCAGGATGAATATTGATGACTCATCCTCTGATGCTGATCGCTGTGACGAGGACGTTATTGATGGTTTCAGAGTTCAGAGGTTTCCAGTTAAACTCCTTTAAGAGCCTTTATTCTCATAATACCTCATAATATATTTTAATTTAAAACTAATCTACACATGATTATTTTATGTCCATTAGTTATTGCTAAAATGATCAAGTTAGAGAGAAGGAAACATAACTGGTTGATAACAGGTTAACGACAATAAACAGGTTAACAATAAACTGGTTGATAACAGGTTAATAACAGGTTAATGACCAGCTTGTCTAATCTATTATATTATATCTGTTATACTATTTAACCCCTTCATTCTGTGACCGGGACAGGCTACTAGCTAGCTGCTAGCTGAGCGTAAGTAGCTAACGTTAGCTTCGCTGGATAATCATCTTGCTTTTAAAACACAGATCAGTAACGCGCACACACACATTCAGTCATCAAGAAGACGTGAAGACAATCTTAATAAAAATATTCAGAGATCCATTTAAAGTTCATATTTCACAATAAGATGCTGTGAGACACAAAACTGATTCACGATGTTTACATTGTAAATAATCAATAAGTAACATAAGTATTCATTCCTCTCCAGAGTACTGTCAGCAAAGTGTACTAGAGATCACAGTACTCCTGAGTACTTGGTACTTGTATCAGTACCTGATGACATCATCACAGGAATGTAACTAAGTACATTTACTTTAGTTATGTACTTGAAAAATTGTACAAATTTGAGATACTTTACAGTATTAATTATTGATGCTAAAACCTTTGTTTTTTTTATCTATGGTACCAGATTACTTCTTCCACCAATAATAATTATAATTATTATAATAATATTTATAATAATAATGATTATATTAATAATAATGATTATAATGATTTTAATAATGATTTTAATGATTATAATAATAATAATGATAATATTATTAATAATATAGTCTTCCTGGAGGAATAGCTGGTGTAGGGGAGTACACACATGTTGGTTGATGATGGTGTGTTGTGCTCAGTCTCTGTAACACACTGAAGATCTAACAGTAGTCATTATGCTCCTGTGTTACTGGGAGAAGTAATGAGATTACAGGAACCTCCGGGACTATTACTACAGCAGAGAGAGAGAGCAGGCTGATGGGATTATGTAGAACCAGGCCAGCTGCGTCCTGGAGGACATGTTTTATGTCATATTCATGATTTATTGATTTATTCATCCACAGTTAACGCTTCACGTTGTTCCACCCTGAGGACCAAAGAGTTCACCAACAACAGAGACCAAGATGAGTCATCACATCAACCTCTTCTTCTACAACATGAACTGACAACAACATGTAACAAACAACAGTACACCCAATGACAACACTTCAAAATATATATATACGTATTCTATACACTACCTGTTCAGGTACTCTGTACTCTACCTGTTCAGGTACTCTGTTCTCTACCTGCTCAGGTACTCTGTCCTCTACCTGTTCATGTTCTCTGTTCTCTACCTGTTCAGGTACTCTGTTCACTACCTGCTCAGGTTCTCTGTTCTCTACCTGTTCAGGTACTCTGTTCTCTACCTGTTCAAGTACTCTGTTCTCTACCTGTTCAGGTACTCTGTTCACTACCTGCTCAGGTACTCTGTTCTCTACCTGTTCAGGTACTCTGTTCTCTACCTGTTCAGGTACTCTGTTCTGGTTCTAATTCAGGACTCAGAGGACCAGAAGAACTATAACAGCACTGATTTGAGGTGTTTTCTCAAAAATGGAGGCGACCAGTTTGACTCGTTACCGAGTAGAGAAACAAACATGGACACCAGGTGTTCACATTCCATCTCCTCAGAATCATAACTCAAATCATCCATAAATTGTGTTAAAATAATTGCAGAAAGACGCTCTTTACTCTTTTGTTTTAACATAATTGTACAAAGATTCTTATATTTAGTTCTGTATTCATTCATAAACATATTGAGAATTCTGCAACTCACATGAAGATTGTGTATTTCTGAGTTGCCTTTATTGTGAAAGTAACAAAATGAACCAATGACAAAAGACCATGTTTCAAACTAAGTGAGCTGAATGGTTCCTCTGATATTAATAACTGGTGGTGGAGGAATCGCTGGTTCTCAACATGTTCTCTGGAGAGAAACCAGGTCACAAGAGTCTGAGGCTGAGCCGACGCATCACATCCACTCTGCAGTGTGATATACCAGCTCTACCATCAGCTGGAGGTGAGCATCATCTTCATCGTCATCTTCATCATCATCGTCTTCATCATCGTCTTCATCATCATCTTCATTGTCATCAGCATCAGCATTATCATCAGCATCATCTTTATCATCATCGTCATATTCGTCTTCATCATCTTCATCATCGTCATCATCATCTTCTTCATCATCGTCATATTCGTCTTCATCATCATCATCATCTTCATTGTCATCTTCATTGTCATCAGCATCATCATCACCATCATCTTCATCTTCTTCATCATCATCGTCATATTCGTCTTCATCATCTTCATCATCATCGTCATCATCATCTTCTTCATCATCATCGTCATATTCGTCTTCATCATCATCATCATCTTCATCAGCCAGGCATGTTCAGTAGAAGTAGAAGTACCCAGAGTACATTTCATCAGCAACATGTACTTAAAGTATCTAAAGTAAAAGTACTCGACTAACTTCACATAATTCAAGTCAAAAGATGTATTTCTTTGAGCATTAGATATTATTATTAATATTAATAATAATAATATTAATAATATTATTAATATTGATATTAATAATAATAATATTATTATTAATATTGTTATTAAAATTATTATTATTGCAGCTGATTTTGAACATTTGAATCTAATAATTATAAACTGATCATATGTTTTGTGTTTGAAATAAACTATAAAACTAAATATAGTTTAATAAATGGAGAATATTCATAGAATTGTATTATAAGTAAAGTAGATGAATTAATTTCCACAGAACAGAATCAAGAAATGAAGATAAAGAAAATAACACGATAAGAACCCAAACCTCCATGTTTCTCCAAATAGCTTCACAATAAGAGCTTCTGATTCATTTATTGAACTCACGGATAGCTTCACAATAAGAGCTTCTGATTCATTTATTGAACTCACGGATAGCTTCACAATAAGAGCGTCTGATTCATTTATTGAACTCACGGATAGAAACTGTCACAAGTGTTTTATGGTTTAACTTTAACTTAAAAAAGGACGAGATGCACTTTATCAAAAATGTTTAAAGGCACAAGAACATGATGTCATCATGATGTCATCTGTCCTGAAACACTTCTGAGTGAATCTGTTTAAGGTCTCAGGTCTGAACCTGCTAATTGGCTGTCAAAAATAACCCTCATCTTCATCTCCACCTCAGAGCAGAGAACCTCAGGGGAGGAAGACACACACACACACACACACACACACACACACACACACGTGCGTAATGTGGGCTGGTTCACCATCTGTATGTAAAACCTACAGTATGTGGGATGTGAGCACATTGCAGAGTAGAGCTTGAGAAATGTGATGAAGTGAGAAGACAATATGTTGTGATTCATCAGCATGTTTGATTAGAAGAAGAAGCAGAAGAAGAGGAGGAGAAGAAGAAGAAGAGGCCGTGTCTGCAGCTCTGAGAGGAGAGGAGGAGTCCACTTCCTCTATTTTAGCAGCTGTACAGCCTCACAAGCTCCAGCAGGTGGCCCAGCACTCACCTCACCCTCTCAGCCAATCAGAGCGGCTGGAGCCAGAGGTGGGCGGGGCATAAGAAGAAAAAGAGAGGGAGAGCCTCAGAGCTCAGAGCTGAGATAAAAAGTAGAAAGAACAGAGAGAGCAGAGCAGCAGAGACTCTGGACACCGAGGACACAGAAGAGAGCCGTGAAGTGAGGGAGGAGAGGAAGGAGGAGAGGAAGAGTGCAGCTCCTGCTACACACTTCTTCTTCTTTGATGTTTTTTCTGTCACTGTTCAAACTTCCTGGATCTGCTGGTGAGAGTGAGGAGAAAGAGGAGGTCTGTTCAGAGAGCATGAGGAGGAGAGAGGCTTTCTCCGGCTGGGAGCGTTAAGAGAAGGAAGGAAGGAAGCAAAGGAAGGAAGCCAGTTTATAGACACAGCAGCCCTCCTCACCTCCTCCTCCTCCTTCCTCCCT